GTCAAAATAATTTTTCATAATGGAAGCAGTAATGTTTCTGGTAGCACTCCCTATGTGTAAAAAGCAAAATGTTTGCATGGCACACTGAGTATATTGACAAGACTTGGCTGTTGAGAACTGCAGTGTTTGTTCTCCTACTTTGATACATGTTGTGTGGGAATTTAACCCATGTTTGCTGTGGTGATTTACTGTTAACGCCTGCCCATCTCTGTCTGCCTCCCTCTGCCTGCCCCCAACGATCAACTCTGCCAAAATCAGGCCATCGTAAGTACGGCCCACCCTCTGTCCAACTGGCCCATGATTTAACTCTTTGACAGCTTGACTTTCACAGCTTATACTGTGTGTTTGTGTGTGCCATTTAGAACGCCTTGTGTGTTAGTTTTGAGTTTAATTCCTTTTTTTTCCTTCTTTAAAGTCCTCCTTACTGAAGAAAAAGCTTGAGGAGCATTTGTAAGTACAAATGCTGCTTCTTACAGATGATTTATCCCTGTGGGTTTCAAACAAAAGTGAATTCACACACTGTGTGATGATTGCAGGGAGAAGCTCCACGAAGCTCACTCAGATCTCCAAAAGAAAAGAGAGGTCATTGATGACCTCGAGCCCAAAGTGGACAGCAACAGTAAGTCATTTCTCGCTCGATCTTTAAGCACCTGCCAGTGTCCACCCTTTCTTCTCTTCTTAACTCTTTATTTTTCTCCCTCTCAGTGGCAAAGAAGATAGACGAACTCCAGGAAATCCTGCGGAAGAAGGACGAGGACATGAAGCAGATGGAGGAGCGATATAAACGTTACGTGGAGAAGGCGAGAACGGTCAGCGCACCTAGAAGGAACATGTTGTCCTCATCACATATGGCTTTAAAATAAAAAGATATGAGGGTTATTTTTTACTGGGGAAATTCACGGATTTTACATTTCAAAGTTGTCTACAAGTCTTTGGTAGTATGTGAAAAAAGTTGTATAAAGCCTTTTGTGACTCCAGAGGGAGAAATCTGATCGTTTGCCTCAAGTGATGTCATTTGAGTCAACGTTCTGACTCACTGAGTCTGACTGAACTATCGGCAGACATATTGTGGGTAATGTAGGTCCATCGTGGGTGTGATACAATCAGCTAAATCAGCAGAGTACTCTATTAAGAAATGTCCTTTGTGTGTGTGTAGGTGATTAAAACCCTGGATCCCAAGCAGCCGGTGGCTGCGACTCCTGACATTCAGGCACTGAAGAACCAGCTGACAGAGAAGGAGAGAAAAATCCAGCACCTGGAGGTATGGACCTTTTTGACATAAAGAGGCAAATCCGGTCACTGTAGCTTTTTTTTAAGTCTCACTAATGCATGATTGTCTGTTCCTGTTGCGCAGCATGACTATGAGAAGAGCCGAGCCAGACATGACCAGGAGGAGAAACTCATCATTACTGCATGGTACAACATGGTAAGTGGGTGTAGAAATACATAAAACATGCAGAAGGCCCTTTTGATTTTTTTCATGTGAGGAAAAACTTCATCTAAGTGAGCTGCTCTGTAGTTGAAAACCACAAGAAGGCAGATGTGGATGTTTTGAGACCACATGGGTCCTCACTCTGCACATCCGCTATTTATTACACCCACACCTGATTCCTCACTCTTTCTTTTCTCTTTCTCAGGGGATGGCGTATCATCAGAAGGTGTCTGGCGAGCGGCTGGGTCCCTCTAACCAGGCCATGTCCTTCCTCGCCCAGCAGAGACAGTCCACCAACGCCAAGAGGGGCCTGATGCGACACCATCCGAGATAAAGACGTGCAGACAGGAGAACAAACATTCTGAAAGGAAGCATAGAGAAGATGAGGTGATCTACAGTAGACTTCATCTGAACTCCTTGTACCTTGTTTGCCTTTATGCCTTCACTGCACCTCAGAGTATTCCTCATGCTGCTACTGCCCCCTGCTGGCTCGCTATGGTACGAGAATGTTTATTTTCTCTGAGGAGCCCCCAGAGGAGAGACACACTGCTGTGTTAACCCACAGAAACAGAAATGAATGGAGTAGAAGGAGTTGTAGGGCCTGAAAAGAGGTTGTCTCACCTTTTAAGGTGACTTTTATTTCCTCTGTAGCCTCTTGGACTCTTGGTCCTTTTTCTTTAAGATTTGTTTTAAACCTTTTTTTTGTATTTTTTATGTTATACAAACGGATGTAATGTGAAATAGTTTTGTCGAGGTTACGGTTAGATGAGCTATTAGGGGTATTGCAATTACTATTGAAATAATACTGGAAGTGCTAAAGAAGCCCACAGGCTGTAGACTGAAAACCAATTATCACATTCAGCCGTTAGTACATGTCATTAGTTTTGATCGTTTGTTTTGAATTTTCTCATAGCTTTGATTTTTTGTCTTCTTGATTACGTGTTTTGAGATGAATTTGCGTTTAGTTTTAATTTGAAAGTCCTCAAAAAGACGTAAAGATCGTGAGGGTGTGTTAATGGCTTTGGTCTCTTATTTTTTCCTCTGTATTCACTCGAATCATGTTCTCTGAACTCTAATATTCATAATAAGTAAAACAGTTAGACTTTTCAGTGGATACACCAAAGCACTTTCATAGAAGGGTGGGTTTGTTTAGTGCCTCTCAGAATACTAAAAATACTCCCTCTGTGGATAAGACTGACGTTTTAGATATTCAGTGTCAACCCTTTCGCTCTGTCTCATTTGACACACATACATTTTACTTAAAGTATACGTCACACTGCAGGCTAATTCTGGTGATCATGTGACTTTGGCGAATGATTTTTATGAACAATGTTCTCATTCTTTGCCTACAAATTCAGTTATTACTGTAAGATTTTTTTTTTTTTTTCTTCTTCTTCCTCCCAAAAATTTAAACAGGGTGTTGGTTGTGGGTAGGACCTAATTGCACTTAACCACTTTAGACTCAAAAACTGATTTGAATATTGATAATTGAAGGCCTCCTAGTTTATCACAAAGACTGGAAAACCAATATATAGCGTGAGTACATAATGATAAAAACACTACAAATGACTCAGCTAATGGCGGTTTACCGCTGCTTAACCTTTACATTTCAACTGAACTGGAAGGATATGCATTATCAATACGCTGGAATTCTTCTGTTGACAGGAAGTCAGAGGCAGACACAAAGGTTGAGCCCGTAATAGACACTACGTCTGCCTTTATTCACTACTGGTTAATTTTCCTTTTCAACAGATGTCATCATTTTAGTGTGTCCCATATCAGAGCTGCTGTTTTGTGACTTGTACTTGGTCCCTGTGAGTGTTTGTGCTATGGTCCACACAGACCAGAATCCTGCTGTTGTGTGCACACAGTTTTCTACCCATGTTTCATTATTTGAGTTTATATTTATGGTGTATGATGATGATGTCTTTGCTACACATTTGCATGGCTTGAAGGGGTTAACTCTTAGGTTTGTCAGTGTTTGTTTGTGTCATATTAATGGTCTAGTAGATTATAGCATAGTGTACTTCACACAGGGATCTGAGGCAAGTCAAAGATTTGTAGTCCTGTCTGTTCTACTTTTGCACTACAAATAAATGGGATCTTAAGATAAGAGCTGGTGGTCTGGTGTCCTCTTTGCCAATACATTTAAAGTAAACTGAAGAACAACTTAACAGTGCGTAATGACAAAACCATTTATAAACACTTAGCCAGAAGGACGTGAGAAAGAAGACTGACCCAGGTTTTATCACGTGGGTAAACTTTAATTCTGTCATGATCTAAAGGCCAAACTGATTAGTCAGACTTCTCACATCCTTTGTGCGCCAGTTGAGTGAAATGGTGAAAGCATCTTTCACACCACTTCTGTGTCTCATGAGAATTATAAACTGGCGTACATAAATCTAGCCAACAATTAATCACTAACACAGTTGTGTAAAACAGCATGTACCTTCAAAATGGCATGTTGCAGTGCAAATTGTTTTGGATTTTACAAATTTCAGTATAGATCTTTAGTCTAACACTTCTTGGTGAGATGTATCCAACAGTTAGATTATAAAATGTAGCTGACAATGGTTCAGTTTAACTTTCAATTTACTGAAATCCACTGTGGTGAATATTATACACTCTTATATACAGTATAAGTCTGCTGTACCTTAATCTATCCAGAACTTAAGTAATTACAACACAAACAGGGACAAATAAAGGGAAAAAGATTATATTGATTTCTGAGGGATCCGGTCAAATGAGACTATATAACAGCTGTAAAGATTGATACACCATATTATAGTGAAGGACACAGGTTAAATATATGTACACTTAGGTTTGTATTATATTGTTATAAGTGTAACATGTTGGTCTTTAAAAACCCTTTGACAATACTATGGCAAATGTAATAAAACAAAACTTCTGGTTATATTTTACTTTTATTAATGCAATAACAATTCTATTTGTATTTCAAGTCTTGATCCCCTCGAGTCTTAATCATTACGTTAGATTCAGTATATCTGTTTTCGTGAGTTAGCAGAGTTTGACTGTGGCAAAGTCACACACACACTGACAGTTCATCATGTGATAAATGATGTTTTGTCAGACAATTAGAGGAAGATAGAATCAGGAATACTTTATTGATCCAGGGGGGATTTGTTTGTTACAGTTGTTCTACTCACACAATGTTAAAGAATAAAAATAATACTTATATTTCAATATATAAAATATAATCGTATGTATAGGTATGTACATAGTAAAAAAAAATAAAAAATGGAAATAGAAATATAATAAGAGCCTAAACGGGAGCAACTGTAACAGGCAGCATGCACACTTTTACATGAGAAGATATGTGTTATATATTATATAATATTTGTATACATTTTATTTTGTAGAACACACACAATTATTATTTATTATTATTATTATTATTATTATTATTATTTACATTTTCCCTCAGGCCTCAATCTGGCCCCCCACTCTGAAGAAACCCTGGTCTAATAATATAATAAACTCTAGTGAGGATTTAATTTTGAAAAACTATCAGTTCCACTTCCGGCACGGCAGGGGGCGCCAACCGCCGACACGTGACGTCACCAGAGGACCTGAAACATGACCGACTGATGGACGAAAGTTAGCGAGCAGCGTTGGTGTTCAAAGATCCGCGACCCTCTCGGTCTGTGCTGCAGGTACTCGACCTCTGTTGTGCACCGCAGCCGTGTTATTGTACGTGGACGCGTCCCGCACACGAACCGGAGGTTTTAAGAGGAGTTCGTCCGGTAAAAGGCCTCATTGAACCGGGTGTTAGCCCGCAGTATTAGCCTCGCTAGCAGCACGAACCAGCGCCTGCTTTTGTTTTTGTCCGGGAGGGCTGACATTGGTGGGCATTTTAGCCTTTTTCAGCTCGCGGTTTTTCTTAAAATTTGCATTTTTTTCCTACATTGGACTGTGTGGCCCTTTAGTGAGACTCTGGAGGGTTTTTTTTATATAATATAGGTGGGGTCCCGTCCGTCGTGCAGCGTGTTGGCGGTGCTGTTCATCAAAGGCCAACTTAACGCGATAAAGCCATACTTCTCAGTAACCGGACACACACCGCTGGACTTCTTTTTGTTGCCTGTTTGTGAACATTTACACCCCCCGAGGAAATCATGGATTCAAAGCGGTCACACAGCAAACCTCAAACGAGCGGCAGCAGCGGCGACTCCAGCTGCGGCAGCCCGGCGTCCCCCTCCAGCAGCCCGGCACCGACAGCGAGCAAAGCCCCGCTGCCCGGGGGAAACGTGTTCGCCAACGACGGCAGCTTCATGGAGATGTTCAAGAAGAAGATGGAGGAGGAGGAGAAGAAGAGGAAAAAGCAGACGCAGCACACAGGTGGAGAGGAGAGAGCTACCGAGCAAGGACAGACACCAGTGGAAAAGAAGCCCCCTCCCGTGACGAGCTTTGTAAGGGGTTTGGCAGTTGTAAGATGAGATAGAAGTAGTTAAAACACATCCAAAAGTGAAGCACCATGCACTGATTCACAGCCTTACTCTCACTGGCACTTTGAGTTGTTACATCCTGAAATAAAGGCCAACATTTCAGTATTGATTGCCAGTAGCATTACACACACAGTGCTTTTTTTTTTTTTTTTTGGTTATACTTGCATTATTTTATGAACACGTTGTGGCAATATGTGATATCTATAAGACCAGTGAAGACTAGGGATGCTCCTCACTGATGATGGTTTCGCTGGTGGTTGCGACAAGAGACTAAATGTAGACCTTCTGCTCTGGTGTAGTCTCCTTCATTGACAGTCCATCTGCAAGGGCTCCTATAACGGTTTCAGTCTTCTATCCCCTAACCCAGGTGGGGAAGCGCAGAGGCGGTGTGTTCCTAAAGACCGGCATGGTTGCGAAGAAGCAGAAAAACGACACAGAAGTAAGTGCGGTTCGGTGGTAGTGGTGGGATTTGAATTGTGTGTGTGTAGTTTGACTTCACCGTTAAATCTCCCTTGTGCTTCCTCTCCTGCAGGTTGAGCCAGGCAAGAGCGATGCTTGGTCAAAGTACATGGCCGAGGTCAAAAAGTACAAAGCCCACCAGTGTGGTGACGACGATAAGACCAGGCCTCTGGTCAAGTAGGTTCCCGAAAGGCGGACATGAAGCGACAGTGCTTTTGAGGGCAAAATCATCTGAGAGAAGTTCCGGGAGGGCCGGCCAATCCTGACCTTCTCATACTGCCAGTTCGAGTTACCTTTCACGTAGTCTTTCACAAACTGCTTAGATTCACAGACCTTTTCCCCTCTCTCTCTTTTTTTTTGTATTGTTTTTTTGCCTTGCTTGTCGTTTGTTGGACTCTGGTAATTTGATCTGGTGTCAAAAGATGTTTCAGAAACTTGGCGTGCATTGTTGATCATTGTTAAATATTTTCACATTTCTCATGTTTGGGTTAAGTTAGGGTTAATTAATATTTGAATTTGATTTAATAGCCAAATCAAGGTGTCAATTAAATCTACACTGCCCATTACTGTGTGGTGTTGTGCCTCAGTTTTATTAGGCTCTCTTTCAGACGATACCTTTTGAGACTGGTGTGTTATAGGGAGTCCAGAGGAAACCTGATTTTTAAGTGTCTTAAACCTGCATCAAATTACTCCATTGTGAAGGGGAAGATTTTAATTAAAAGTAGGTTTGAGTTCTATACAGGAACAAATTCATTCAAGAATTAATGTACAATGAAAAAGTGTACAGCTCTCATTGGAAAAAAAAAGCTCAAATTCAATTTGCAGTTTACATTTCTTACAGGTATCAGTGATAATTACATTATAATAAAAACAGCACCAAATAGACACACTGACCATGCATCAGAGGGGGAGACATACAAAGGCACACTTTCAGTCCCACCAACCAAACACATTCAAACCTTCACCCACTCTCACACACGCTCACTCACTCACCTAAAAATCCCATTCATTCATTCTCCCTGTCCACAGTGATATAGGTCTATCTTGTAAACATCGACAAACTGTATTTGTCATTTTATTTAACAATTCTATGAAGAATAGTATTTAAAAGTTATCAAATTGTTTTTAAAAAGTTATATTTAACTGTGGTATTCATGAAAAGTTGAGCTGATCTTCTCAGATCAAGTATGTTAAGTGTAACCCAGTCCTCATCTTAGACCCCTATCACAAGCGGTCTGTCACGTTCCATCCTGATTTGTCCCAAAACGTCATCGTTTTCGTTAGACAGCATCCGCTGGGCGATGAAATCCAGCTGTATCATAGGGTTTTCCTCTTGGCATCTCCTCCCTGGCTCTGACTGACATCTGGACAGGAATAATACAGTTTTTTAAAATTGGTGAAAAGCATCAATAGGCACATTGGACAACAGCCAAAAATGACTACATTTAAAAAAAAAAAAAGGCATGCAGTCACCAACAGACAAGCAGAGAACAGACCAGGACCAGACGGAAAAGGACAACCCAAGACAAAGTACACCAGACACTTGAAAAGGGAGGTGGGGAAAGAGGGAGTAAATGGAGCAGGCTTTGCGGGTGGAGGGAGGGTCAGATTTTACCTGAGAAAGCGAGCTGCAAGTGAGGAGGCAGAGCAACCTGAGACCCTGACTGGAGACTCTTATACAGATCTGAGGAGACAGGACAGGGGAACAAGGAGGGGGGGGGCAGACACCAACAAAATGGGGAGGGAGCAAGATTGGCGTAGAGGTAATGACAGCCAAACAGAGGAGGAGATAAAGACAGAAGAAGAAAGAGGCAAAGTGAGTGACAGAAGAGTAACCAATACAGGATTGGCATGATTTTGGTTGGAGTGCAGAAAAAGGAGAAATTTGGGGGAAATGAAGCAAACAAAATGGAATAATGTCAAACAGGAGAATAATCTGACACACAATATGGTGATAAAACAAATGATGCTCTAACAAAAAACACAAAACAAGGCTTACAGACAACAGCAGAGCAACCTACACACAGTGCCTGCCTCGTGTCAAAAGATTTCAATCAAACTGACAATGTGTTACGTTACACTGCCACCACTTTAAGATGGAGGCGTGGTGCGTCATTTAAATCAATCAGTGTACAGTATCCATGTTTCTGCCCTGCGTGCATCACTCACTCTGGGTCAGGGTAGAGAACGATGCATTGCTACTGGCTGTAGAGCCGCTGGCAGCCGTACTGGAACCCGCCGTGCCCAGCGGAGGCAGGTTTAGCAGCTGGGGGAACTGGAAGGGCAGGGACACGGGCACCAGGCCCCCCAGCATCCCGAACCCGAGGGGAAGAGTGGAGGCTGAGCCGAGCAGGCTGCCGGTACCTGCTGTGGAGACCTGAGTGGAAACAGAGTGTTAATAATCCTACACCGTTGAGAGTAGACTCTGGAAGTTGTGTTCGAAAACACAATAACTACCTTTATAAGTAAAGTGGATCTCTTCAGTACCTTGTTCTGATAACTTAGCTAACAGACAATATGAGCAGAACCTAAGACTTCTTCCAAACTCAGAAGTACTCATAACCAGTGGAATGGCCCCTATCAGTCCCTATATAATGGAGGGACACAACTAATTATTTTCAAATAATCTGCAGATTATATTTCAATTAACTGTTTGATGTACAACACGTTATCATAATCACAGAAACCAAGATGACATCTGCAGAGTGCTCGTTTTATCTGACTAACTATATAATATAATATATAACTGAATATAACAATGGTTCGAAACAGAGTTATGATAACAAATCACATTGCAACAGAGGAGCAGGAACTTGTGAAGGTTTAGCATTTTTGCTTGAAAAAAATACTGAAGCAATTAATGGATTACCAAAATAGCTGCTGATGATTTTCTGTCAATCAACTGACAGATTAATTGAGCTGCACACCACTAGTGGTGTGTAATAATCATGCAGGTCATCTTTGCAGCATTCTTTGAGGCGTTGAGCCTTCTGACTCCTGACACTAACAATGTTTCCATAACAACGCTGTTCACATTGAGGTCTGTAATGTCTGGAAATCCAAATTACTATAGACTTTTTGAAGTGTCATTTTTCAGTGTTTCACGCATCACAAATGACTCGACACTGAGGACATTTCAGGGGTGAACATCTCAAAATTTACATTACACAGCTGACCCTTTAAAAAAATCCAACCTTTATATGTTATAGGTCATCGTTTGGTGAGAATGACCGTGACACCCATTGATCAGCACTTACTGTATGTAATATTCACTGCCACCTTTATGTGGACTTACACCTGAAACAGTAACTATGTGTCCCTTTTCAATGAAGTTTTTTTTATGACCAATTAGTCCAAAAGTGGGGGAATATCACATTACTACAGTAAATGTAAATGTGCTGAATAATAATGCATTTGGACCACAAATGCACGCACTACAGGTTACTACTCTGCTGGACATGCTGGCGGTACAAACCTGTGGCAACTGAGAAGAGACAGATGATGGGACGGACGCGACTGGCTTGGCCCCCTGAGGTGTCCCACCCCCGGGCCTCTGACGCTGGCCTGCGTTGACAGAGACCACTGTGGGGGAGGCACTGGATCCTGAATGCTTGCTTATGGATATGGTGTTAATAAGGCTGGCGTTGGTGGTGCTGTTGTTGTTGGGGGTCTTCTGGCTGCCGGGAGGAGTGTAGCTGCCTTGCCCTGGCTTGGTTACTCCTCCTTGGGCACCTGAGAACGGCGGGCGGAACCCTGCTGGGTTTTTGGGAGAGTACTGGTGTATGGAAGGGGTTGCCTGAGACCTGGGGCTTTGAGAGATGGAGGGTGAGACTGAGGTGGTTGTGGTCACAGCAGGGTTGGGGGTGCGGGGGGTGAGTTTGACGATGGGCGGGATGCTGCTGTGGGTGGACTTGGTGAGAGTAGCGTGCATAGGGGTGATGAAGTTAGACTGAGGCCGGGGCTGGGGCTGAACTCCAGGGAGCTGCTGAGAGAGGGAGGGGGAGGATTTACTCTGCGGGGTCTGGGAAAGGCGCGGCGTCTGGAAGGTTTTGGGGGTCATGTGTGAGGGGGACGTGAGGGTGTGTGGCCGAGACTGAGGCGATGTGATGATGAGTGTGTCACCACTGTTGGCTTTATTATTATTGCTGCCTTTGAGGAGGCCAGACGGGGGAGTGGAGACCCCCATCTTTGATCCTGGGGGCACAAGCGGAGACGCAGTGGGTGGGGGACGCGGTTTAGGTGGCGACGCTGAGGCAGGCATGTTGGCTTTAGCAACACCCACCGCCAAAGTTCTCTGAGTGTTCAACACCGAGTGTCTGTGCGCCTGCACCGTGCCCTTAATCACCCCCATCCCATCCACCCTCACTGAGGGCAGAGGGGAGGACGCGATGGAGGAAGGCCGAGACAGAGAGGTGGAGGAAGACGAAGAGGTAGAGATGTAGTGAGGTGCATTGGAGCTGGGAGTGCTGACAGAGTT